CTATAAGAATTTTTTATATTCATTGGCTTAATAAATAAACAAATAAAATAGTATGGGCTACAAAACTGCATACCCAAAAATGTTCTGAAGATTCAGATCAAAATGTTGAAATTTGGATGAAAATTTGTCGAATTTTCCTAAATTTTGTATAAAGTTTGAAACCGTGAGTTCTGCTTATTCAAACGAACGTTGCTTCAAAAAGGCCAAAACAAACAAAAAAGGCCCAAACGGAGAAAAAAGGCCCAAAGGCAACAGTGACGTCAGGTGTTTTTTAAAGAAATTTGTCATTTCAATGATATGATTAATTCCAAAAATTACTTAAAAAATTCAGTGCAATGTAGAATAGCAATACATATGGGTACCAAATGAATGTGAAAATTCTATAGAATTAAAAAAATTAAAATTTGTTGGTTGACAAATACGAATAGATATTGAAAATGTCCTTTCAATTAATTTTAAAAAGACATTTTCAATACCTACTCTTTCTTATGCACCAAAAATTTGTATCTGTTTTAATTCTACAGATCTACTTAATATGAAATTCAGTTGCTTAGTTACAGAACGACAGTTCTTTGTTTTCGCTGTCCGTCTTTGGAATGCTCTGTCTCATAAAATTAAAAACATAAAACGCACACTGCAATTTAAAAATGAATTATTACGCTATTTGTTAAACGAGTATTAGAGATGTATACCTGTAACCTCCATGTATGTCCCTCGTATTTTTTCTGTCCTCCCCTACTGTTTCTTCTTTTTAATTATTTTCCTTCTGTCTAATTATTTGCCATATTGTGGTGTAGAACATAAGCTTTCTAGTGTTAAGACTCAAACATTGTAATTTAACCTATGGTTGTGTGTTTGATTTAAATAAATGAATAAATGAAATGAATTTTCTCTTTAATTCGATAACCATACTATTGTATTTGGCCCATGGTTTCGCGAATATATTGATTTTTTTGTGTGTGTAAAATTGGCTGTCGCACTTTGTCAAAAAGGGCCTCTGGCATTGATGAGATATACATACGTGTGTGTATACATATATATAAGTACATATCGTCACTAGACAGAAATAAAGGCGCGCCATTGTTTTGACGGCGAAAAAGGACGCATTGATGAAAAAAGACGCGTAAAAAAAACTTCGGCGAAAGAACCCGGTTAAATCTAGTTGACGGCGAAGAAGACGCGTAAGCATATACCGCGCCAAGGACTGTCACTTCAGCATTATTCCCCAAAACTCTTTGGGGAATGTACATAAAAATACACCCGCAAATAGGTTACCGCATCTCTCTTCGCCTTCGACTAAGTTTAGACGCCTTTCCGCGCTGAAATTTTTTTAAGCGTATTTTTTCGCGGTCGACTTTTGAGCTTGTGACGATATGTAATATGTTAATGTTTTCAGAAATATTTGAAGCGTTACAAAATATTAGTGGTGGTAAGTTTACTACATAAATTTTATTAAATAAAAGTATTATCAACAGAATCATGCATATTTGAAGTAAATATGTACTGTAAAAGTATGTACGCATACAGTATGGGTTCAAGTAATTAAAACTGTTACAGCGAGGGAGTAACACAAAAAAGAACGGGATCGCTTTCTAGTAAAAAATTATAACTTCTGACCACTTCAACATAACCCCCAAATTTTACTTATTTTGTATGTAACCGCACTCAACTCACACATGTAAATAACCAAAAATACATACAAATTCAAACGAATCCACTGAAAAAGTAATTAAATATTTTTCAATATGCATTAGCAGAGTGCACTTTATTTTGTTTACAATTTCGTTGTCAAACATACTACAGCTGATCGTTACATACAATTTTGTTTTTAGAATAAAAATAAAACATTTTTTAATATAGTTTAATTTAAAACAAAACAAAGAGAAAAACGCTTGAAAAATTATAGCAAAAGTGTATACACTCAAAACATACGGTGACGAGAATGTAAATAGGGAAAAGACATTTAAGCAAGTTTCTTTGTTTAAGAAACGTTTATTATTTTCTATGAAAATATAACTTACTATCTAAAAAAAAAAATGTGAGTCAAAATTTAAAACTTTTTATAGAATTGTCTTGAGAACGCAGTTTTAGCCCCTTAAATTTGAGTACAATAAAGGACAAGTTTGAAGTAGTACCGTTGATTTTTGGTAGGTAAATCTTTTATTTATTAAATGTTTATTTTTTATAAAAACCCAGTTTTACAGTGCAGTTTTGCAGTGCAGTCCAGTAATCGGAATGAAATTTTTTGCCAAAGGTGTTGCGGTTTTCTTCCACATAAAAATATACCGGTTTATTCGTTATATGGAAGCAAATGTGACGAAAAATTCTAAAAAAGCAGCGGTAATTTATAGCCACATGAGACTTACACTTCATCCTACTAAAATTTACTGGTATAAAAAATGCATACTTAAAAGTTTTCTAAAAATTCTGAATAAAAAGTTAGAAATATTGGCGAAAGATTTTTTCATTTTCCTAATTTTTGTACAAACTTCCAGAAGCGTATTTATAGGAATTTTATTATATAATTAGCTGGACTTTTCAAAAAAAAAATATTAGACGTAAAATAAAAAAGAAATGTAGCCAAAACTGGTCACAATAAGGCGTTTCTGTTATATCTACCACCAGTGTACATGGACTTATATTTTTTGCAATTTGGGAGTAAGTTGTAAAAATTTTAAATTTAAACGCGTCTCCTGAATCCGTTATTTCAGCATTGAATTAGTTCTGATAGTCGAGCAAACAACTTTTACGAATTATCAAGATTTTTGTAAAATCGCGTTCGTACAAACAAGGGGCAATGAGAGCGCAAAGTGACAGTTCTCTTGGCGCGGAAATTGCAAACTCTTGCTAGAAAAATAGTTTCCAGCACAAATTTGCTAGCAGGATTGTGGCACGTGGTTGCTTTTTTGTCGAAGATAATTTGAATAAACAAGTTCGGTATATCTAAAAATTTATACACTTGAGCGATTTGCTAATGAAAAACGTACGTAAGTCAATATTTGTTAACTTAATTAATTAAGTTAATTCCAATGATTTGAAAAAACTATTCACGTAATCGAAATGCAATTGCACCCATAGTCGGTACCTGTCTTGTATAAGAGTTATAATGTACACGGATAGATGGACGGACAAACAGACATAGTTTTATCCACTTCGCTATTCATTCTGAGCATATGTCTATTTATACAGTATCGGTCATATCTATAGCACGCCATTTCAAAGTGATATTGTGTGCCACTTATGTTAATTTATTTATTTTTGAGAATTTTGAATTAAAATATAGTTCTTTCTCTAACAAAACCCATATAAACCCAAATTTAAAAATTTGTAGAAAACTACAAAAAAGTGCAATAAATTTTCATCTAAGTTTCAAACTTTTTTCTCGGAAGTGTTAGAATTTTTCTGAATACACAGTTTTATAGCCCAATCAATTTTAGTCTGATAATGTGCAAGTTTCAAGTGGCTAAAAGCTACCGTTGATTTTTTAGAATTTTTTTCACCAAAGGTGTTGCGGATTTCTTCCATATACACATAAATTTAG